CAGGCACGCGGCGGAGCGAGGCGGGCGGGGCGGCAGCGGGGCTGGAGGAGCCCTCAGATTTACTGAGTCAGTTAGCACACTCCAACCTGCCATCCAGTGGGGAAGGGAAACTCACGCCCCGGGCCCGGCTTTGTTCCCAGGGCGCCCGGGAAGGGCCGGACGCATTTTTCTTTCCAAGAACGGGTTTAATGCGCGCTCCAAACTTCTCCCCTGCCCTCGCCAACTTCCCCAGGCAGCCCTGCTGAGATTGATCAGAACTCACGTCGCGCGGCTGCGGTAGCCTGATGTTGAACTTGACTCCTGAAAAGCGAACAGAGAGCACAGTATTAGCACCGGACGAACCACGTAGTTCCCAGGGACCTGCTTATGGGCTCTTGACTGTGGGTGCCCCAAGGGAGGGCACTCGGGTAGGGGCCATAAAAAGGCAGTTCAGGGGGGACGCGGGAGAGGCGCGCTTCGGTGTGAGTGCCCCTCTCTCCCATCCGCATGGAAATGGGGGCGCAGGAAAGACCTGCTCCCCTGGCTGCCGGCTGATGCTCCCTTCTGGGCGTTTTACCTCCTAGCGTGACCTGGAAGGTCTGGAAAAGCGCCTGCCCAAGCTGCCACACACCTGCCCAGCGGAGCATCCAGAAACCTCACAGCCCACTTCCCACCCACACTGTCACTAAATCCGAGGGGAAAGGACCCTTCAGAAAGGCCTGTCCATGCTCTATGCCCTGTTGGCTCTGCCGGCTGTAGTCCATGTGGACGCTCCATACCTGGAATATGACACACCTGCACCCACACCTTTGCACACACCTGGCCTGGGACTGGAACACACTCAGTCTCCTGGGACCGTGGTCTCCCCACTTCCCTCCGGGAAGTTCCCTAACTGAGCCTTCCACTTGGCCACATTGGCCTCGCAGCTGGCCCCGGGGCTCTGGGGTGAGCTGACCACACACCGCTCTCCTCCAAAGGGCTGAGCAGAGCCCAGGTACAGTGTCCAGCGAGCACTCACGGTGACTGCGGGGAGGAGGAGAGAGGTCAGCATATCACTGGCCACACTCCAGGTGTCCCCTCTGCCCACCTTTGCCTGGGCTGGGGCTGGGCTCACCCAGGGCAACAAGCACTGGGAGGCGAGCCTTTGGCCAGAGGAGACGATTCTGCCTCGTAGCAGGCCTGGTCTGTTTGGGGGAATGTCCCAGAAGGACAAGACGATTCTTTCGGGGGAACTTACTTAGGAGTCTGGGCTTCCTTCGCCCACCCCTGCTTGGCCAGGGACACTTCAGGGGCTCTTCCTGCTCTGAGGCTTTGCCAGAAGCCAGTCACCATCAGAACCACCTCCCCTCACCCAGTGGGCCGAGCCTGGCGCTGCCTGGGGTGGGTGCTCTGGAGGCCCAGTACTGCCCCTGCCGTCTCTGAGTGCTTGGCAGAGGTCCAGTGGCTGGAGCCCAGCTGGTGAGAGGACGTTCAGGTCCTCTGTCCCTGACCCCCAAACTCCACTCACTTCTCTGAGGTTGTTGTACGGGTTCAGCCACAGCAATGGCCATGGCCTCATATGGTCAGGCTGAGGATGTGCCCACATGGCTCCTTCATTTATCAGCAATTGGGGGTGCCCGAGGTCACCCTGGACTGAAAGCCTGCTGTCCCTGAGCCCGCTGGGGCCTTTCTTAAGTCCCAAGAGAGGTGGGAATGAAGGCGGAACTTGGCGAGTTGCACTTTCTTCTGCTGCAGTATTATCCTTTGATCCTTTTGGGCTCAGAACAGGGGTGTGCCCTGCCTTGGGCAAAGGGCAGAGTGTCTGCCTTCCTGAGCATTCCCCAGTTATGTGCATAAGTGTGTGGAGGCGGGCGAGCTCTGAAACAGGCCTTCTGGACTCTTCAGCGAGGCTGAGAAGCTCCAGGCAGAAGTGGTTGCACCCCTGAGGGTGGGGTATGATTAGGGGGTGCCTGACTGTGAGACAGGAGCCTTTAGAGTTCAGCCCCTTGCCAGGGACCCCTTCTCAGCCCCGGTCCTGCCTCCCTTCACCTCCCCCTTCACCCTCCTCAGGCAGCCATCCCCAGCATGAGCGTCCTGGGCTCAGTGTTTCTGGCACATGCTGCTTCCTCCGGCGGCTGATGATCACAGAGCCCTTCTCCAGAAGGGACCCGCCACACACTCGGCTTCCCTCCACACTGCCGCGATTCCCTTAATTATTTTCTTCTGGTGATGGCAGCTGGCTCTGCTAAATCACCTCCCTTCCTCAGCTTCAGACACAGGAATTTACTCTGCTTGTCAACCCTGTCAACTTGTCAAGGTACGATGGCGCTTATTTATGCTCCTTTTCTGGAGCAAATGAGTCATGCCAGGCTTGGCCAAGAATGGGGCCGAGGAGCCACCTGCCAGCTGGTGGACTTGACGACAACCTGTTTATTGAGGTTGCAGCCCCTACGGCTGTGACCTCCCACCTGCACGGTCCCCACAGCGCGAGGGGTGGTGGCCGCAGGGCTTGTCCCATTTAATCTGTGCAGCCTGGACAGGTGTGTCCGAGCTTGGCCCACTCGGAGGCTGGTAGGGCCAGAGCCCTGGGCATAGGCTGGAGAAAAAGTCCTAGCTGGACAGAGCCTAGCTCTGGGGAAGTCTCTTGACCTTTGGCCAGTTTTATTTAACACAGCCAACCTGGCTGCGATTGCCTCCTTTGTAAAGAAAAACTGTCTGTGGAAAACCCAACAACAATCCTATGGGGAACTATATTTGCCATGAGCTCTACGCTCCAAACCCTTAAACTTATGGCAACTTGCTGGACAAAGACTGGCCCTTTGGAATAAAGGCAGAATTTTAACAAAGGAAATGTAATGGGCTCTCCCCCTGGCAGAGGCCCCGTGCTCCTTTCCCCATGGAGGACGCTGCTCTTCCACACACCGACTGCATAAAGGCTGAAGCAAAGACCACCTCAGCTCTGAACGAGGGAAGGCCAGGACCTTGGGATCTTGACACTGGGGTCTGCGTTCCCCCTAGTGGGCTGCACTTCAGGACCCCGGACAGCTCCATGGAGCGCCCAGGGAAGACGGTGTTGCCTTGGCTGCACCCACAAGGAAGGTACAGTATTGTCACCGAGAGCCAGCAGAATTTGTGCCAGGGGGGACTTACAGAACG